CACTCCCAGAACCACGGCCATCACCATGCTCCGGCTCTCCCTCCCCCTATCCCCGTGCCCACCCCGCACGCGCCCGCACCGCTTGCGGCAAACGATGACGCGCAATTCTTCGACCGCGTGAAACGCGCGCTGGACAACCGGGAGACTTATAACGAGTTCTTAAAGCTCGTGAACCTCTTCACGCAGGACATCATCGACCGCACGCAGCTCGTGCGCGAGAGCCGATCGTTCCTCGGCGACACAGAGCTCATGGCGCAGTTCAAAGACATCCTGGGATGGGACGAGCAGAACGAGCGGTATGCAGGCGTCGAGGACGTTTGGTCACGCCCGATAGCGACGCTCGATCGTCCGAGCCGGAACCAGCTGAACATCAGGTATGGTAGCTATCGAAAGCTCCCCGCGAACGTGAGTCTGGAACGTACTCTCCTGTGATTGTTGCTGACCATGGTACGTAGGAGGCGAAAGTGCTCTGCGCAGGTCGCGATGACATGTGCCGTTCAGTGCTGAACGACGAATGGATTTCGCACCCGACGTTCGCGAGTGAGGACGCGGGCTTTCTCACGCACAAGAAGAACGTCTACGAGGAGGCGCTCCATCGCAGCGAGGAGGAGCGGCACGAGTATGACTTCCACATCGAAGCGATCCATCGTACTATCCAGATGCTTGAACCGCTCAGCAACAAGATTGCACAGCTGAACCCGGACGAGCGCAACGCCTTCAAGCTGAAGCCCAATCTCGGTGGTGTTGCAAAGAGCATCCACCAGCGCGTGATCAAGAAGATCTACGGGCGCGAGCTCGGCGTCGAGGTGTATCAGCTCATGCAGGAGACCCCTGCACTGGCGATCCCCGTTGTGCTCACGCGCCTTAAGCAGAAGCACGAAGAGTGGAAGCGCGCGCAGCGCGAATGGAACAAAGTATGGCGCGAGGTCGACGCACGCAACTACCACAAGTCGCTCGACCACCAGGGCATCACGTTCAAGGCCACGGACAAGAAGGCCATTACGCCGAAGGCGTTCGTGAACCAGATCGAGACCGCCCGCGGGGAGCAGATGGCGAAGCGCGCGGCGCTCATCGAACCGCTGTTTGCGCGCACGCGGCCCCGGCACCAGCTCGAGTTCGTGATCGAGGACGTGGCGGTGCTGCAGGATGCGCTGAAGCTCACGCTGTCGTTCTTGGATCGCACGCAGGCGCAGATCGTGCTTGCGGACAGGAGAAAGATCGAGATATTCCTTCGTGCGTTCGTGCCTCTCTTCTTCGCTCTGGAGCCTGTTGCCTTCAATGCATTTGTGCCGCTGCACGAGACCGTCGACAGCGACATGGAGACAGAAAGCGCTGTCGACGATGCCGAACTTGCAAGCGCCTCGGGCAGCTCTCGAGCAGGGCGGAACAGGAAGGCGGCTGGAGCTGGCTCTGCTGGTGACCTACGGAAGAGACTGCTAAAGAGTGAACAAGCGAAGTCGAGCCGACGCACCCGTGCCCGTGACGGTGTGTCGCCAGCGTCTCGTTTGGTGTCACCCACAAATCCAGACGCAACTGCAGACGAGAGGCGATCGCCGGTGGGGACGAGCAGCGAATCAGCCTCAGCCGAACGGCTCCCGGCGCGGCGGAGATATAGCTTCTTCACGAATACGACCTTTTATGTGCTGTTCCGTCTACTAGAGGTGAGTTTCAGACGTCGTGTCTCTGCTTGGGTTTCGGGCTTAATCGTGCCACAGGTCCTTTATACACGCCTACATATTTTCAGAGGTCTCACCACAAAGCTTGCAAGCGAATCAACTGCTTTGCGCAAGCCAAATTCCCTTGCTGTCGATATGCGTGCCGCAGTCAGTCTTTTGGGGCTGGATGACAAGTCCGCGAATGCTGCGCACTTTTATGATCTGATGTTGGATTCGTGCGAGAAACTCTTCGACAACGAGATCGAGCCACATGTCTTTGAGGATCAGTTGCGTTACATGTTCGGCGCCAAGGCGAGAAGATTCATCTGTCTTGGTCCCAACTGTTCGCTGATGTTATTGCTATTCGTAGAATGCGTACAAGATGTTCACAGTCGACAAGGTTGTTGGCGCGCTTATTAAGCAGGTAGCTTCCCAGCGGCCCACTCTTTCCGTGCGGGCTGCTGACGCATATACCCAGGTTCAAGCCGTACTCTTAGATGCCAAGAGCCAGGAGCTGTTCGACCTCCTCCATCGCGAGCGCGAGCTCGTAGCAACAACGACTCAAGACCAGCAGAACCTCCGTCGGAACACGGAGAAGGTTCTTGGGCCGGATGAGAACCTGTTCCGCATGGACTGGGTGCGTCTCACCTCCCTCACGTTAAAATTCCATACCTATGCTTATGTCGATTTGGATTCAGCTTACCGACTCGAAGACTGTCACCGTCCAGCTGCTCGGCAAGGATGACTCGAGCTTCGACGACTCGGAGGTCCTCACCGGACGCTGGCATGCTTATGTCGACTCGTTCGTCTCGGTAGGTGCCGCGTGGCTTCCCCTGCTCACTGTACGCTGATAAGCACGTCAGCACGGTAATACCGAGGGTGTGGAGCTGCCTGCAAGCAGAATGCCGTTCCTGCGCAAGTGAGTTATCCATGTTTCCGTCATATCACGAATGTTGACGGATGCGTCGCGTTGTAGGACACGATTGCCCTCTGCGGACCGCTCTGCGGACCCGCCTACTATACTAGCACGTGGTGGGCTCGAGATCAAGGTGTGCGTGCGGACGTACCGCTTGTTCTACGTGTCGCGCACGGAGGACGTCTTATTCCGCGTCCCGACGCGGGCGGAACGCGAAGCGGCCTTGCACAAACTCGATGCTCGCGTGGCACGGCGGAAGAAATGGATAGAGAAGATGACAGCCAAAGATACCGGTACCGGTGCTGTTGCGAGCGTCGTGCCTGACGGGGCGAGTGCGCCCGTCGTGGCCACATAGGTCGCGCAAATGGATTCAGCGGATGTATGTGTATCGTTGGCTGCTACATTACGTTGTTGTAATAAATACGCTGAGCCTGCTCCGTCCCAACCTCATACAACGCATCGCGGACCCCCGTCATGTCGTAGGCCGTATCGCAACAAGCGCACCGTCTCCCTCCCCCCGACTGCATTCGCAGTCTCACTCGTCGAGAAATATCTGGTGCCCATAGCACGTAGTCCTCATCGCTTCCCTCTCCAGCCTGAACCGAGCACGCCTGCACCACCCACACCAAATCCTGCGAAAGCACCGCCAGGTCCTGCACCACCCCCACCAGAGAAGGGTGCAGTGCCATCGGCGGTAGCGGAGATCGGGCTGCTCTTCGCGTGGAACGACGTCCGGTACGACGTCTGCGGAAGCGCCTGTATGGTCAGGAACTTGTTGGGCACCGGACGGTCGTCGTTGTTGTACTGCGCAAGCAGCCGGTCAGCGACAGACGGCGCAGAACGCCGCAGACGCGCACCTGGAACTCGAGGCCGATGCCGTCCGCCTCGGAGACGTCGAGGACCTTCGCCATCTTGCGGCCGATGCCGTTGATTTTCTCAACGTCGTCCTTGGAGCGCGTCCAGACCTGAATGCGGTCGACCTTGCTGCGCAGGCTCACGACGGCGCCGCAGATCTCGTCGCCCTCGTCGAGGTCCTCGCCGACGAGCGCCATCGCGAGCCACGACCAGCAGCGGTCGAGCAGCGGGCCGTTGTTCTTCATCGTGAGCACCCACTTGCCGCCGCCCGCGTTCGCGGGGTCCTCCCACATCGGTTTGATGCCCGACTTGAAGAGGTGGTAGTTCGAGTTGCGCTCGAGGCGCGAGGGCGGCTTCAGCCAGTTGAAGTACCGACAGTACGTCTCCACTGTGTCGAACTCGCCGATCACCGTCAGCCCCGCCTCGTATTCGTCCGATTCTGGTGGCGCGAAATGCGCAGATGGCGGGGGGTCGGTCGGGGGTATGCCGGCCACTGGGGCTGCGGTGGCAGGCGTGAAGGGCACCTTGGATTTCGTGTCGTGGTAGAGGGTCCTGCAAAAGTGTCCTTAGCTATGTGGATCTCAGGCCAGACCAATGGCCCCAGGGCGTATTAATAGCAAATGACGGGCAAGGAGTCGTCATCTCGCTATAAGCAGTGAAATACCGGACATTGAAGAACAGAAGCACTGGACACAGCGAACGGTAAGTGCTCTCGATGCACACTCCCTGTGCGGTCCGCGTGCCCGTTCACATCGGAGCATATAGCCAGCAATTAATGGATGGACAGGAGGACATGGCACAGACTAATCCATTGATCGGTACACTGAGGCTTGCCGGGACGTACCACCTCGTCAATAGCACTTTCTCGTACCCTTGAGCGCAATGCAAACTAGACATGTACATACCATGTATGCTCGAGCGGATGCTCTGGGGCCTTGATGCGGAGCCCCGGCGTCTTTGGATCCTCGATGGTCTCTGCATCTGGGGGCCTAGCAGAACCATCAATACTGAGAGTGCGGGCCTTAGCAAGACGTGCGGTGATGGCGTCGAGGCTGGGGATATTCTTGTATCCCACAGGCATCTTGTCCTTTTTGTCCTTCCGCTCCGTCTCATTATTAAGGCGCTCGAGATGCTCTGCAGTGAGCGACTCGCCCTTGTCGCTGGCGGGGGTGACAGTGATGCTGTTGGGGGGAGACGTGGCAAGACTGGCAGGAGACACAGAGCGGGACACGGGAGGATTCACGGCGGTGGAGTCTGCGGTGGACAGCGAGCTCTGCGAGCTTGTGCGCAGGAGGGCGGCAGCAAGGCGGGGCCGGGACGAGGCAGCTGCAGAAGCGGGGCCGGCGTTGAGGTTAATGCGTGCGGCGAGCTGGTTGAGGGAGGGCATGCGGGGGCCTGGGGGTGGGCGGTCTGGCTTGGACGCATCGAGTGCGGGCGCGGGCTGCGCTGCTGCGACCGGTGGGCTGCTCATCGTCGCCGTCGAGAACAACGTCGAGCTCGACGCCCGCACCACCCTCTACTCCCGCTCTCCACCCTGCACCGCCTATCACCGCGTCTTCCCATCATGCACCACCGGGCACATGGTGTAGTTGGTTATCACATCCGCTTAGCACAGTTTGTGATTGCGGGGGGTGCTGGGTTCAATTCCCAGTGTGTCCATTTGTATTTGAGCTAAAGCTTTTTCGCTCACATTCAGAATTACGCCCATACATTGACATTTTGCAGTATGGCCCTCTCTGGGAATACAGCACCTGAGTTCGCAAGCTTACGCGACGCAACGTGTATACATTACAGCTTGCCGGGCGTGCAACAAATGTTCTGTAATTGGTAGAGAGAAGACACAAACAAAAGGATATTCACACCACCACCTGCCATCGAATCCTAGAACCCAGCGCCCCTCCTCCCCCTTTTCGTTTTGACAAAGCGCCGTTTTCCGCCCTTCCCCCTCGCATCGAAGGATCGCCGTTCCCGTCCCCATTCCCCTCGGACTCCATGTCCATCGCATCAAGCTGTGCATCACCCTTCCCTTCCACCCGGTCCCTCAACGACGGCGACGGCGCCTCAGTGTGCGAATCGTCCAGCGACAGCCGGTCCAGGAGCGAGCCGCCGTGCCTCGCATTCGGCGGCCGCGCCGCGCCCTGCCCGAACGGCAAGTCCGCCGCGCCAGCAGGCGACACACGCTCGTCCTCGCGCATGCCCTGCGGTTTCGGCGGCAGCTCCTGGCTGCCCATGCTCATCTGCGTAGCGAGATTGTCCTGTTGCTGCTGCTGCTGCGTCTTCGGCATGGGCGGCGGGCGGCGGATGCGCACCGGCTTCGACGTCCGCATGTTCGTGAGCACGTCCTCCGTGGGCGGCAGGTCCGGCGCTGGGCCGATCAGCCGCGCACGGTCCGGATGCGTCTTCACTGCTGCCTTCGGCAGGGGCTCCTTGAAGTCGTCGCGGCCTGCGCCGGAGCGGTCCCAGGTTGGCGGAGGCTCGTCGCGGAAGGGCGGAGGGCGATCCCGGACGTCCTTGAGGTCTGCGCGAGGGGGTGGCTCTGGGTATATGTCGCGGTCGCGAGGGCGTGAAGGCAAGGACGGCTGCGATGGACCTTCCATCGGCGGATACCTATACTGTTCATCGTAGTGCGAGCCTAGTCGGCCCTCGAGTGGGCGTGGACGCGTCTCAATGGGGCTGCTCCGCTCGCTGCCGCGGTCTGAGCTGAAGTCCTGGCGACGCATGCGAGGAGATTCGTCGACTGGGGGTCGTGGAGGTATGTCATGTCGTCCCGGTGGAGGTGCACCATCATTAAACCGACGCGAGGGAAGGTTGGACTCGTCGAACGGAGGCTGCCAACTAGTTGGGTCCGCACGAGGGGGGCGCGAGTTAGACGTCCGAGAGCTTGGAGGCGGTCGTTGAGGATGGTCCACTTGAAAGACCGCTCGAGATTGCTCCCTCGTCATCCAGATGCGAGGTTCGGAATCTACCGGACTGGAAGGCGACTGCTGTGCGGGTTCAGGATCAAAGCGACTCTGGAATGACAAAAATGAATACGATGACACTACTAAGACGCAAGAACGTACACCACGAGGCCGGTCGTCCTGCTTGTAAGCCGAGTCTCTCCGAGGACGAGCAGATGAACCGCCATTTTGATATGCGTCAATCGGAGGTGGTGGTCGATCAAAAGTCTGCAGTTCTGTTTGCACGGCGAATGAAGTATTACCAACGGAGGACTCACAGGCACATCGTTGCGATTTCCAGAAAAGGAAGGTCGACGATCATTTGTGTCAACATTTGGCATCGAAGGACGATAGTGGTTGGTTGGAGAGACGGGATGGTAGCTCGAGGCCTATGGCACCCGTGAGCCGTGAGTGAGGATGGCTATTTCCAGTCCAGTAGAAACTCACCGTGCGTCCAAATTCATCGTCGGGGTTTCCAGGCAATGCACGACTACGAGTCGATTCCCCTACGCCCGTAGGACGCCAACGATCAGTAGACCGGGGAGGAACAGGCTCTACAGGAGGCTCGTAAACATCTCTCTTGTTAGCCGCAGCCAAGTTAGGATTGGAGAATGATCGCGGCATTGCAGGGCCATCAGGGTGGCGTGGAAACCGAGGGGGAAGGTCACGCTGGTCTCGCATATCCTGAGGAAACTAGGCAAACAGGATGAGAAGGCGTCGCAAAAGGTAGCAGTGTGAAATGACCTGTTGTCTGGACTCAACACGCGTCGACCTGCCCGGGGGACCATTATGTAGGACACTCCTGTCGTCGTCCATCCTACCTGGATGAAAATCCGAGGACATAAGGTGACCATTCGCGTGATTCAAAGGCACTTCCTGCCTGTCCCGGCGCTCAGCCCAGGGATCATTGTCGACAGGCTGCGGTTGGAAAGGCCGTGCGCGCGATCTGCCGGGCATTGATGCCGGATCCGGGAGTGGCGCAGGTCGGAGATTCGAGAAAGGCGCGACGGGTGACAGAGACGGTGGCGATGGAGGAGGGGGCTGGTACATGCCCGGCACACCGCCCTTCGTCATGGCCCGCGGACCACGTGGGGGTGCATCCACTGGTGGATCTGTGGCCATACGGTCAGCATACATGCCCATGTTAGCACGAGCAGGCCCGTCATGCATGCGAATCGCAGATATGTGAGGAGACGGGTCAATATCCATCGCATTGCGGTCCGTGGGCAGTAAATCGCGCGGCGGCGCGGCCGAGGGCTTGTCGAAGCGACTTGGCCTGCCCGATGGCGCGGTTGGTCTCGTTGGTGCTCCGCGGGGCACCATGTCGAGATCAGCGTCGCGGTTCGGAGGCGGAAGCTGGCGGCGGGGAGCAGAGGGCACGTCACTGGGGAAACTGTTAGTAAACCTCAGCGGGGCGCCGCCCTCATTCAGCGGACGCGACGAAGGAAAAGGTGATCCCTCTTGGCTGGAGATCGTGGGCGACGTGGGAGGAATGGTCTCTGTGGTAGGGCCCCTTGAAGCCTCAGCAAAACGAGTACTCTGCGGTGGGAGGGGAGGCCTTTTGCGCGAACCTGCAGGTATAGGAAGATGCACAGTGTGGCAGTTTATCGAGTCGGCGTGAAGTACGACAAAGTCGAGCGCGAGAAATACGTACGTGACTGATCGCCTGGTGCAGGGGATGGAAATGGGGACGTATTCGGTCGTTGTGGCAGTCCGTGTGCACTCAGAATGTCTGCAGGTGCCCGTTGCTCCAGAGGCGGGTCTGCTACACGATCTTCAACACGCCGGCGCTTTGGATCGAAATCGGGGCCAATTTCTGGACCTTCATAGTCACGACCTCTTCGCTGAGGGATCTGACCAGGAGGCCCAAAATCATTCGGTAGGCGCGACGGCCCTCGAGCGGCGGCAGATTGGACAGGGTTGACGGGTTGGTCGAATCGGCTTCTCTGCTTCGGTGGATCCGGAAAGGGGGCTGGCGGCACAAGTAGTCCCATGCCCAGCCCTTGCGCAGGGCGTCGAAGTGCCGGGGGGGATGCATCGCGCACAAGAGGCGGCGGAGACCTATGTCCTGCAAGATGAAACACACAAAAGGGAGAGGAATAGATAAAGGGGAAAAGTGCGAAGGGGAAAAATAGAGGGGTCCATAATGAGCGTCCTGGTGTCGAGCAGGAGAAGGGGCCGAGTAAGAAGAGGGAAAGGGCAGCCCATCTCAACTCCCAAGGCTTCTCGAGACAATCGCGAGGGGCGTGTCCTCCACCTCGGGAGGAGCACGGACGCCGGGGACGAGGGGGGAGGGGATGATTCGAACAACGTACTTGGGGCCGACCACTCATCAGGACCGTTACGAATGCTCTGATCTTGATACGCAGGCGAAAACTGAGGTGAATCCATATCCAAGCGTGGAGGACGATCGCGAGAACGATTGTTCAATCTCTGAGGTTGCACAGGTTCTAGTGACACCGACTTCCGAGGTGGCCCCCAAGCACGCTCAGGCATACCGCCCGCTCTTCCAGCTGGCAGTATATCGCGCTGGGGTTCTCTCCACGTACCATGATCGACCGGAGTGCGAGGAGGGGTGAAGTCTCTACGAGAGCGTTCTACTCGATCATGTGCTGGGAGATCACGCCTCGGTGGCGTAATGGACCGCGAACGGAACCGGCCACCGACCGGTCTCGGTGACTGCGTGCGAGTAGGAATTGGTGGGTCAGGAAACACTACCGAGTCGTAAGTGGCTCTTCTAACGCCGGGTTCGGCAACTGTGGCGGGTTCACCAGGACGGTAGTGACGATCTTCGTATGACATCTGGTCCGACGGCGAGACCTTCTGATTCGCATCCTTGCGGCCGCTGCGTCCTCTTTCGAGAGAACTAGCACGCATGGCGAGATCCAGGCCACCTGGAGCAGGAGACCTTGTGTCCGCCACCTGTGAAGTGCCGTTCTCTCGATCTTTCGATGGAGACGATCCGCCGCTCACCAGTCCTGGATGAGTCCATGTCGACTTTTGGGTTGTGATGTTGTAAAAGTAGGCCTCCGACCCGCCTCCTCTGGGGTACCGAATCTCCCAATCAGGTGGAAGAGCATCGCTATCGCCAGTGCCGGGTTGCGCTGTTCCGTTTTGACGCCTTTCCCTCCGCACCATAGGACCAGCTAAAGTGCTGGTTTGTGGCGGGAGAGGCTGAACGTAGACAGGAGCAGTGAGAACAGGTTTTGGGGGGAGAGCGTGAATGAGCTTGGGTTGAGACTGAGTTCGTTTAAGATTAGGTGAATCCGAATTCGGCTGGGGCTGCGAGGGAGGCTGCTTCTGTGCCGAGTTGAAATGGACAAAGTTGGTACGGTTGAATGTGGTGGCCGGGATTGCTGACCGCTGCTCAGGAGGAGATCTCGGAGTAGCAGGCTTACCCCGCTGCGAGCTGTCGTGGTCGGTCGACTGGTGGGTGGCGAAGTCCTGTGCTTCGTCCTCGTCGCCCAGCGAGACGGCGTCTTCTGCATCGTCTGGGTCACGCCAGGTGGCGTCATGACCCGCCGTTGCCTTCTGGTAGAGGTGAGCACCCTGCTGCTCGTCGTCCTCGTTACCCCAATCGAGGACTTCGGTATCTTCGTCCATGGTCGCGAGTTTGTCGTGCACGTCGTCCAAGTGCACCGGCGACGGGCGTCTGCAAAGGCGGTTGAATGTTGGCTCCGGCTGAAGTTTCGCTCTCAGCGCGCAAAATCTTAAAACTCC